GGGGTTGGGATCCTCGCCAGCTTCCTGTGGTTCTTGGTTTGGTTGGGCACCACGTATGCAATATTTATTTTTGTATATTGAGTAGGCTCTAAAGCATTTAAAAGGTTCTTAATGCTAATATTGCTGGGGAAAAAAGAAAAAAAGTGGTTTTGCAAGTGGGTAAGCCTGTAGCCTATAAATTATCATAAGAGTATATATATACTTTATATATATATATAATATTTTATATATATAAATATATATATAGTCACTGTTGAAAACAACTCCACTCCATTTTTTTTCTTTAAGCTCAGCTATATGAACAGGGTGGCTGTGGTCTTGTTTTAAGCTTAGCTTTTGTTTTTTAATTTTGAAAAGTTCTTACAAACGTCCCGAATTGTTCTCTCCTGAACTAATGGTAGCCAGCCCTGCTCCAAGGAGCTTCACCAACTCACAGCTTACGCTCTACCGTGCTCTTTTTTGTGTGAGGTACAGCATAAACCATGGACAGAGGGAGAAAATGCTGCACTCCCTGTGCTGTGTGCAGCCCTTTGGAGCTGTGATACCTGCTGAAGTGCTGTTCCTGGAGAAGAATGGAGAGCAGCACTCACACTTTGGGTCTGGGGCATTTCTCCAGGGTTTGAAAGCACACTGGATGCCTTGGTACCTCTTGATGTGAGGGTTGGGTGGTGGTTTTATTTTTAATTGATTTACCTATCTATTTCCTGGTCAAAATTGTGCATTGAGCACCTTGCATTTCCCTTTCTACCTTTTCATACAGAACTACTGAGGACAGGTTAGCTGGTGGCACTCAAAGCCCTGCATTTGGAGGTCCTTTTGGTTCTCCTGTGACCAACTCTCTACAATTAAGGGCTAGATGCAATCTGCTGCTTTATGCAAGCTCAACCCACCTGGCCATTCCAGGACCCAACCCAGTCCTCAATGCCATTCCTCCCACAGAGCCAGCTGCAGAGAAGAAAGAAGAGTGGAGGGGGATATTATTGTGCCTGGGAGTGTTCCAGAAAGATGTGGCACTGAGGGACACAGGCAGTGGGCATGGGTTTGGTGAGCTCTGAGGCTTTTTTCCAGCCTTAGTGATTTGTGATTCTATCATTCTATGCAGCATGCTGTTGTTCAGCCCATCCCTGGAGGTGTTCAAGGCCAGGTTGGATGGGGCCCTGGGCAGCCTGGGCTGGTATTAAATGGGGAGGTTGGTGGCCCTGCCTGTGGCAGGGTGCTGGAGATTCACGATCCTTGAGGTCCCTTCTGCAATTCTGTGTGATCCTGCGTTTAACAGAAAAACACTTTAACCCAATTCACTCACCTAACCCTGTGTGCTACACTAATTCCTCCTGCAGCCAGAGGAGGAGAAAGTGGCCTTGCTCCTTTGCTGAGACAGGGTGAACTGCATCAGCTCAGACCCATGATGGAGTGAGGATAGGCCATGGGCCATGGAGAAGAAGCTGAGACCCTGCATGTGGATCCCCCCCTCCTCTCTCCTCGTGGGTCTCTTTGGGCATATAATGCTGAGCTGCACCATATTTATTTTGAGGCTGGGAGATGCCTTTTAAACGCCTAATTTTTTAACTATTGTAAATGATGTACAGTTATACAAATAAATGTTTTAATCATACAGGTGATGTGTCAGATAAGTTGACTATCAGAGAACTGCTGCCTTCTGCCCTGTGCCCCTGCTTCCTTCCCACAGTGGGGTTGGAGCAGCTGCCCTGCTACTGCTGGGCCTCCGTTTGTGACCCCTGATCCTCTTTTCCTTCAGCTTCTCTCTAAGGGCTGTGAGTGTTCCATGACTCTGCTCTAAGCTCATGTAGCCCCAGTGCATTCTGCTGGTTCTTGTGCAGTTATTTATTTGCACTCCTGCAGCCAACACTTAGTGGCATGCAAACAGCTTCAGGCACAAGGACTGATATGGTATTGTAGAGCACATAGCTCAAAGCTTAAAAAGGTTATAAAAAAGATAGCCCAGTAGCTCTTACTCAGCTGAACAAACACAATTTAAAGCAGTGTTTTTAATGGCAGCACACGGGCTCATCCTTCCTGCATCTCTCCTCCTTCCAGGCCATCCCCAGCCCTTCTGAATATGCTTTTTACAGTTTTGTTTTCAATAGTCCTGGGGTTTAGCCCTCCTCCTATGACAGCAAACACTACTTGTTGTTCTCACCTATCTACCCACGAACAATAACATGTTTTCCTCACCCTGTGTTCGGTTTGACACAGCAGCTCTCTGGCTCACGCTGGATGGAACTTGGAACCCATACAGGGAGGATGTACTCACCCATACAAGCATCCTGCTGGCACTGGCTACAAGCCTGTGCTTCCTTGCCCAAATACAGCCCTGGTGGGCTACAACACGCCCAGTGCCACGGAAGACAGCCCAGTGCTGCCAACACATGCTCCTCTGCTGCCCTTCCCATCCCAGGCCCCTTCTCCACCTCCACTCACAACCAGCACATGCACACACAGACCACTCTGAGCTATCAGTAGCATTTAAAAAGTTGATATCTCATATAACCTGAAAGGGAAGATCATAGGAATGGCAATGCTGACATTTCATTTCTTCTTACTGATACACTTTTTACAACTCGAACATCATTAGGTCACTTGACAGGCCCTTGTACCACTTGCTGCCATTTCAGGGTGTGTTTCCCCTTGACATTAACCCTTAAGTCTACACAACTCCTCCTTAGTTAACTACCATCAGCCACTGATTTCCCAGACTGATCCAAGAAACTTCACTCATTAAAGCACTGACTTTTTAAACAATTTTGTTTCCAAACACTTTTTACCAGCCTCTGCTTCGCCTGTGGGATGCCTGCATGTCACTTTCAGACCTGAACCCAAGACCTGACTGCACTCAGAAGGGCTGCCATTACTCCTTCAGCTAAACACTTCTCAGTGGTGCTATGTTCTCCTGTTCTTCTGGAGGCTGATCTCTAGGTCTCTGCCATTGAGCCACAGAGCTATATTAAGGCTGGAGAAGACCTCCAGGATCCTCAAGCCCAACCCCACTCCACCACTCCATGCCCAGCGCCCACATCCCTCAGTGCCACTTTCCTGTGGTTCTGGAACACCCCCAGGGCTGATGACTTCACTACTCCCCACTACTTCCCAGGCAGCCTGTGCACTACTGCTGGCACAAGGCAGGATGCTGTTGGTCCTCCTGGCCACCTGGGCATACTGCTGGCTCATAGTCAGCAACTGCAGACCTACACTCTCAGATCCCTTTTTCAGTTTGTGCAGCTTTCCAGCCACTCAGCCCCAACCATCACACATCCTTAGTTGTAAGAGATCCATAAGGATCACAGAGTCCAACCTCTGGCTCCACCATTCTGGTTCAAACCTGAATTTTATCAATACCTGGGTCCTAGCAGCATGCTTGCAGCTGAGGACATCCTCCTCAATGCTCTGCATGCGGCTGGGGCCTGACTGACCCCTGCAGCCCCTCCAGGCCAGGTCTGCTCTATGAATGGTCATGTTGCACCTGATCTTAAATTAATAAATCCTCCCCATGCAGCTTAGCATGAATATCCTCATTATAGAGCAATGCAGCACTGATCATAGCCTGAAGAGCTTTACTGAAACAATCCCACATTAATTAGAAGGCACAGCTCCCCAAAATCCCCAGCCCCAGAAAAAGTTCATGTTTCTGAAAGCTCCCCCAGCCTGGCTGGCACAGCACTTCTTTTGGAGGCGATTACTTTCCAGCTGAAGCATAACACCCAGCTGCATGAAATTTCAGTCTCATAATCCTGTTAGCTCTCCCTCACCAGAGCCTGCACTGATCAGAGCTTTGTGTTTGTGCAGCTCTTGAAATAGCAGCCTGAACCTTGCTGGAACACACTCAGAGCAAAAATGGCATTGCTAAGGGGAAATGCTGCTATTTCAGAGGCCCTGTGGCAGACAAAAGCAGTTTGCAGCTCTTAATTACTGGGGGCTTTGTATGGGTGCCAGGTGTGCATAGGGACAGGGGGCTTCCCATAGGCAACGTGGATGGGTGAGCACCAAAACCACAGGGTGCACAGAGGTGGCCACAGGTAACTGCTGAATATGTACAGGCAGTAGTGAAAAGTTATGGCTCAAACAGCACTTAAACATGTAAGCAGAACAGCTAGCTACATAGCTAGAGATTTTTTTTTTAATAACTTCTTTAGCATTAAGCAATAAACTGAACAGACAGAAAGAATTTAATGAGATGAATCATCCAAAAAATGCATGAAATCTCATTAGACCACGATGTGGGAATGATGGTATCTGCAGCACACACAGAACTGCTGTTCCCTCCTGCTCCTGGCACACAGGCTGCACCAGCTGCAGCCCACTCCCCATCACCCCACTCTGCCTTCACACTGAGAAAAACATACAGAACTTCCAGAGGTAAATACAGCAGTCTTGAAAATAAATTCTAGCTTCCCAATCCCACTCCAAGTTTTAAATTCCACTGAAATTAGAAAATAACTTTCAATCAAGACATTCTAGCTTCAGCTCTCCCAAGCAGACACCACTCCAGTGGTCCTGGGATCCCCTGCAATTAACTTCTACAGCAATTTCAATTATTTTCAGAGCTAAGCACATCTTAGAGAGCACAACTTACCAAATTTAGGGGTGCACCAACTAAACAACCACATCAGCAGAGCCAGGAGAAGAGCAGCAGCTCAGAGCAGCTCTGTGCTCTGATACAAACTGGGTTGGACTGGGCACAGTGGCACAGCTGCAGCATGTTGAGCCTATTACTCACCTGTGTTCCCTGATAACCAATGGGTAAAGGAGACTTTTTTTTTTTCCGACTTACTACTGCAACATAAAAACTTTTGAGATGTTTGGG